CACTGCATTTTTTTCCAGCTCTTTTACTGCGTAAATCATTTCCTGTGATTCTAAAACTCAGTTTTCTCGTGTCTTCAAATCAGAGTGTATGTGGAATATAACAAAGAATAGAAAACATTTGGCTGAGAACTCTAATAAAGTCCAGCTGGTTATTGGAAAAATAACGTGATAAAAATGAAAATACTTCAGCTGCTGAAGATTGTGTTTCCCAGGTAACATTATGGCATCAGGCTTCTGCATCCCAACCCGAACCCTTCAAAACAAAATCACACAAGGTGGAAAAAAAGAATAGAATAAAAAAGATCCCTGCAGCTCCCACATCATCTCCAGACTAACCATTCAATTCAGGCACAACTTTTGTTACCTTTTTCAACTCAATATCCTTACTAAGGCCCTATGATTGTTGCTTTTGGTTTGGAGTGGTAAACTGGTTCAAGTGGCCACTCAAGTTTGCTAAAAATAAAAACAAGTTTTTCAGATTTTTATTGTTTGAAAGCTTGGCATGAAAAGGAAATCTTTGCTGAACTGAAATAAATCCATAAAGAATTAGTATTCTGATCATATGGCTGTGGTTTATGATATCAAAAGTACAATCACAAATCAAACTAAATTGTCATTCCATCTCACTTTGAGAGGAAATAAGCATGTTTATCCCAGATATCAGGAGTCTTTGCACTCAGCATTTTCCACTTCCCTACGATGTGATTTGTCACAAAAGTGACCCAGACAATAGCCTGATCCAACTTCCGCCTCTCCAGGTCAGAGGTTAGGGTCCAGTTCACCGGAGTTTACTAGTCTATTTCCTGCATCACCAGCGCAACGTGTGCCGGTCAAGCTAAGAAAACACGGAAACACATATGTGAAAACACAGACACCAGCACATACACATGTTCATGTGATCTTCTAGCGAGGCAGCAGACTTCCAACTCACCAAGCTGGAATAACAGTGGTTGAAGGTGGTGAGGTTAATTTGAATGGGCCTGAGTTTCCTCTCAAAGTGTGAAGTCATACTGATCTCAATCAGATGGTGTGTGTGTGTGTGTGTGTGTGTGTGTGTGGTGTGTGTGCGCGTGTGTGTGTATGGTGTAGGTGCAGACAGCTAGAGGTGCTTTATGGTCAGCAGTGCATGGGTCAGGGAGCTGAAGGTTACAGGCAAGTCAAACCTACTGCAGGACATGGCACATTCACAATAAGAGACAATATATATGTGTGTGTGTGTGTGTGCGTGTGTGTGTGTGTGTGCGTGTGCACGTGCACATGCTCACTATCAGCTTTTATTCCCAGTTGCTCTTTTTGGTCTCCGTGGTATCTAAGTACTTTAATAACACTAAACCACAGAGCTTTGGGTAAAGATGTAAGGCATTGACCTCCCATGTCATTTCAAAAGAATTATTTCTCATGTTTTTAACAATATTGCGTCACTTTCCCACCGACTCCCCGCTATTTTCATTCAAGATAAAAATAAATATATAGTGATATTGCTTCAACGCAATCCTGACTTTTTTTAATCATAGAAAACGTAATCCAACAGAAAGAAAGCTGGGAACATCAAAAAATTGTATTTATGTATAAAAAAGGAAAGCGAGTCTCTTCCTTTAGTCTAATAGGGTTAATTACAGCCTTGTGTTGGGATGCTTGTATCAGAGCAGAGTTGGTAATTAAAGAGCAGGTAAGACATTAACTTACTTTTGTTAGCCATTAATCAGTGTTTACCTTCAGAGAGGTCTCCCTTTGTAATTAGATAATCAGCTTGGACAATGAGTAATCACCCAAGAGGAAGTTGTGGTGTACATGAGTCTGTGTGCTTAAAAGTATGCGTGTGTTATCAACACAGGGTTTTTTTCCCACCTTTGAAATGGCATCTTTACTGATCAAACAGCTGATCAACCATCTCACCAGGATACAAAAAAACAAAACAAAGGAGTGATTACCAGATGAATAACTTCAGACTGGGATTTTCCTGTGTTTGAGTCCACGTTTTACTCCTCACCCTCCTTCTCTCTCATCTTGCATTCATTCTTGTACTGGCATCTAAACAACATTTTGGGTTCGAGATGATTACCTCTTGGGAAGGCCAGCCCAGCGAAACAACGCCCCACTCAGACTTAGTTCTGTCGTACTTGTAGTTACTCAACCACACACCCACGCACGCACGCACACGCGCACACACACACACACACACACACACACACACACACACACACACACACACACACACACACACACACACACAGGAACACAAAGGGAGCTTTTCCAGCAGGAGGTTGGTTCCACTTTATCTGCATATTTTGCCCGTGTTCAGCGTGCTTCGAACTGATAAAATTCTGCTAGTGTACCGTGCCACTGCCAAATGCCACAGCAATGACCTTCTTGGGCATAAAATTCCTCTTGCAAGATGGAGAAAAAGAATGGCGTAAAAGAAAAAAAGATAAAGACACAATTTAAAAAAAAAAATTGGGGAGGGAAACTCACCAGTCAAATACAACGGAAGCCTTTTCTGGTTTTATTGCATTTAAAGGATTAGAGGACGTCTTGTTTTATTCTCCCTCCCTCAGTCAGATTGCCATGCTGGTGTACTGACATTGCTTCACAGATGATTAGGAATAACAGACCTGCTCTGCCTCCCCTTCCTCCAACCTCCTTCTGCCGAGAGTCTCACACACAATCATCACCTGATTACTGTTCCACACAGGTAGTGTCGAGCAGGGGAGAGGGAGATGTTCAAGGAAAGTCGTATGTAGATGAAGAGCGAAAAAGGAGAGAGAGAAAGACAGAGAGGAAGAGAGAGAGAGAAAGACAGAGGTCCTTCACACCGTTATCCCATTCTGCCTGACCAGTCCCAGTGCCCACAAGCACATCGTTATATTTAGTTAGCCTTCTGACATCTTATGGTGGATCTGATCACATGCTATTGCTATTATTACTAACAGCTGACGAGTCAAGCCGGGCCGGAGCAGTCCGGGTTCACGCACGAGCGGTGTGTGTGTGTGTGTGTGCCTGCATGTGAGCATGTGCACTTGCATGGCAACAAGGATTGACAGGTCTATTCCCCGATGCTGAGATACTTTATGGTCATCACAGAGTATCCCCCACCAACGCACTCGTACCATAGAGGCAACTCCTGGGTTGATTGAGTTTTGGGCCGTGCAGCCCTGACAGGCTTCCCTCAACCTTCTTTCAACCTCGTCACCTCCGCCGCTCCGCTGTGACTCTCACCACAATGGCTGTTGCCTATGAACTTACCAGGCGGCCATGGACACAAAAGGCGCCTGAGACAACCTTTGACATTAGAAGCTGCCACCAAAAGACCAGATACAGGCAGGAGTTGGCAGCTCTGTTAACAGGCCAGACACTCAGATCTATTCAGCTTGGTTTTAAGGATCAAAAGTCAATAGAACACAAGTGAATGGTGCATCCGTACAGATGGACGCTGTGTCAAACAGGTCCGCGATAGGACAAAGCCAAGGCGTGCCAACAGTTTCAAAAAGTAGACTGCGATATCTTGGCTCAAAGGTTGCTGTCTTTTGACTGACAGCAGTCACTGAGAAGAGACACAAAAAAATCCAGGAAAGAAAAATGACATTTGAAGATGAAATACAGTATGTTTTTTTTTATTTTTTATTGAAGACTAGATGACATTTCAAGAAGCTGATTCACCGGTAGATGTTAAGGCCACCCACGCACCTAACACCGGGTGGAACATGGTGTTTTATTGGCCGAAAAGGAGATAGCAGTGTTGTAGATGTATTCACTGACATGCGTAGCATGTGTAAGATGACCTACGCATTCACCAAAGTGTCACAGAGGACCTTTGAGGAGAATAAAATCTCCAAGCCGGATGCTGGAGTTATTATGGAATTGAGTGATGAGGCAAAGTCTTGAGTGCGTTTGCATTTGTGCACATCATATAACAACCGCTACATAAACATACAGTAAAAAAACAGTTGTATTAAATACTTTTGACGGATATAATACTAAAAATGTTCATTTTGTTTCTCTGCGTGTGTCTCACTCTTCAAACAACACTGCAATCATCAGCTCTTATCAGCGGCCATGTTGAGGATTACAGCTTTCATCCCTAATCCTACATTAAGGACACATTCTCATGATGGCCATGACATCATCAAGGCCAGTCCACACACAGAGAGGGCACGGGGACAGGAAGCCAAACGCCGCAGGAGAGGATTAATGAATATACAGGAAACAGAGTAGATGATGAAAAAAGAAAGAAGGCACGACAGAGAGAATGAAAATAGAAACTCAATCAAACAGAACATTTCTGTAACGTGTGTGAGACAAGTTCATGCGGGTATTTGTGTGTAATCTACCTTTAGTTTCTCTGACACACACACACGTAGAAAAACCCACCTACTGAGCCTTGTCATCTGCACGGCTACATCCAACGGATGATCTCATGCAGTACACACAGATGAAATAAACACTGCGGATCGTATTGTTATTATTTGCATATGTCATTTATGCAGATTTGAACAAACGCTACATTGAAAGCACATGAGGGATGTCATTAACATGTTATGGATTTTTCAACGTACCATGAAACTAAACACACTATTTGAATTATTTCTTTATCTGGTTATGCGTCGAGGGCATTGGTGCCCAATAGCTCGATTGCCAACACAGTGCCGGTGAATCGCCTGCCACTGAAAACAAATTACGCCGGGTCACCGCGTATGCACGGTCGACCGTGGGAGCTGACGGAAAACTTTGCAGTCCCCATGACTTGGTTGCGAGCCGAAAGTGCCCTCGGGCACCCCTGTTCTAGAGCAATGTAAGTTTCTCAGTACTCACAACTACAGCAACCAACTTTAACTATGAAGCTCTGTTGTATGACCTACATTTAGTGAGCCAATACTCTGACAACTTTGAAATAAATCAACTCAAATTGTCTTAGGAAATTAAAAGCAATCAAAATAAAAGTAGATATTGAGTCACAATGTCGTTTCTTTTGGGGTGTGTCTTTTACAGAGTGTGCACAATACCTGCGGAGACCCGGGGGCAGTCTGGCAGCATGGGATCCAGTAGTGTGTCCAGGGGCTCCGGACTCGACACCCAGTTACAACAGTGCTGTCGGGAAAGGAAGAATATTGCAAATTGACAATTGAAAACCACCTCCTTCTACAAACTATGTAATCGACTACTTATGACAAGTGCAAGGTCTGGGAAATGAAACCAAAGTGGCAACCAATATTCTATATATCTAGACAAATAAAATGAAGGCAGGGATTTGACAAAGACATTTTTTTGTTTTTCGATGTTTGTCCCAGAATGAAGGTAAATGCGCTGTTTAATTGAGTAATTTTGGGATAAAACAAAAACAAATCAATAAAAACTGAAATGTGGAGAAAAAAGGGAGCAGAATTAGGGAGGCAAGGGAGACAAAGAAAAGAGGGAGAGGTATGGAGGAACATGAGAGAGACGGTGATCGTGAAAAAGATGTGTATCTAGTGGGGAGAGAGAGAGAGAGAGAGACAGGAACAAGCAATTAAAAGCTCTGTGACATGTTGCACCGACAGCTCGCCGTTTGTTTGTGGTTGAGAGCTGAGGCCTTCTACCACGCTGGATCAGTGGGTGCCCTGGGGGAGGATGTCTGCCCGGCTCGCTGACCCATAACCCCCCTGCAAACACCCCTCGTCCTCTCAAACCCCCCTGTGGTTGACAACTCTACTGTCAGAAAGAGGAGAAGACCTCTTTATCTGTCTTTCGCTGTCTTCATCGGACTGTGTCGCGCGTTCTCCCCACTCGGTTGTTTTAGGCGGTTCAGGGTTAAACCCAAACGTACAATAAATGACGAACTGCATCAAAGCCACACTTTCACTCTTCCCACGCTTTGATGTTTCATCCTCTGGGTCAGATGACAACATATCAAAGTATGTTTTACTTTTTGACCGCGCGATGCGGTTTGGTATGCTGTGGTTTGTAGGGTTAGAACAAAAACAAGCCAGAGAGGGACAGTGGGAGTCTGAGGAGGAATGCTTGGAGAAGACGTTCTCTAGATAAGATAAAAGTTAAATAGAAGAAAGAGAAAACGTAAAGAGATTAGAATGTGCAGCTGGCGTCCTTCTGAATCACTGCTTATCTTCCCGTGTTTACTTTTACCCCGGCCCCTTGACAGCCATTACAGTGCTGCACATGCCTGTGGGGGGTGGGGGTCAGTGATGGCATTACAGGGGGTCTCCCACAAAGTTGTGTAGCGTTGTAAACCATTCAAACTCAAAAAACGCGTGTGCACACAGACACACACATACGGAGGCACACGGGCTGTTGCGTTTTTGCCCTCAGCACACGCTGACTCCTAAGCCCTTATAAGAGGAGCGGCCGGGAGGACAAACATGTGAAATGTTTCCACTTCAACCTCCCTGAAAACACTTAAACATGCACACAACAAACATTTAAAAAAAATCAAGGGTCACAAGACTTTGACTCAGCAGTCAGCCATGAAGTTAACCCCTACAAACAAACACACACAACGCCTACTAATGTCGGTGATTATATTCACAAAATGTTTTTGTGAGTATCCAAAGGCAAACCGGGACACTGGATACACGTGATGCCTAATTGAGCCCCGTACAGTCATTCAGGGGGTACAGAGGAGCCAAAGAGTGTTGAACTGAGACCAGTAGAGAGACGACGGTGGGGCGGTGGGGGGGCGGCAGGGGGGGGTGTAGATGACATGTCATCTCGGTAAACAGTGGCATATTGGGTATTTTTAGATCCTTTGCTTTGCCCTAGATGTGCTCTCCCCCGAGCCGGGGCTGGAGGGCAGAGCGGCGTGGAGCGGCACGGGAGCAGCGGGGCTCCTTGACTGCTACATCAAGTGTCTCATTGTATCTCCTTTAATTCATTCAGACTGTCTGGAAGAAGATGTCAGCTGGGCTGTGGAGCAGTGGGCTGAAGGCGGCTGGAGCGAAGGGAAGGAGGGGAGTCTTTCAAAAGGAGCCTCCACCCACCTCCCTCACCTCCACCGTCACCACCAATGGAGGCCGGGAGGCCGGGGTTTGAATAGATTTGTCAAGGCAACAACACATGTGCACACAAACTCTTGCATAAATGCACGCACGCACACACACACACACAGTGCTGTGGGAGACTGCGGGCGTAACAGCAGTCACATAAAGGCAAGGCCTGCTGGCTGGGATTAGAGGAGGGCGACTTGACAAAAGGATTGCACATCACATCGGTTGCCTCTGACACATTGCAGCATCACTTCAAGCAGCTCGTCCGCCGATCAATGGCGCCATTGAATTAAAGGCAGACAGTGAAACAAACATCTAAACAGATTTGACTACCTCCCCCCACCCCATGTGAGCGCTATAGTTAACCATTAAACTAAAAGTGTGCTCTAAGGGTGTAAATGACAAGCAGGTGTCACCCGTTTCCATCTACTTATTAGAGATGCATTTGATCCTTCCTTGACACACTGCGCACTTTCCAAAGCCTAAATTTAATGTAAAACAGGCTGGTTGAATAATCAGAAAAGTTACAATACTATCTTTTGGATCTTTTAGGTATCTGGCAAAAATCGTGTACAATGGGCTGCATTGAATGGTAAACCTGTACCTCGACCACACAGGACTTAGCCCCAAGATAGAAATCTCGGTGTTGTACAGAAGTCTCCTAAACCCTAACGCACGCGCGGCAGCCTGCAAACTAAATTCTCAGAAAGTAGTCCTGAGTATCAATTCTTGCTAACTCCCTCGGTGTCCATCCCTCTCCCACCTCCTCCGGTTGCTGTATGATCTCTATGGATTAGGATGGTTTATTCATGACCATAGCGTACTCTGTATGTGTGTATGTATGTGAGCTCTGGGCAGGCCACTAGAGTGTGACAGCAGGCCAGCACAGTGACATGAGACACCTTGGAGACTGTGACAGGCTGCCAGCTGTACACCATCATTCGCATTTCTCTCTATCGCCCTCACTTCTTCACACTATGCCACTCATCTATCCCCACATACCTATCTTCATCCCTCTCTTCCATCTGTATTCACTTCATTCATATCCTACCTGTCTTGTTGTTTTTTCTTTTCCACAGCTCTAACATGTGCTGTCTTGGGGCCAGTCAACGGGATCTAAATAATTGAACGGTTCTCATACTTTGTTTGAGCCCACTGGATGGAGTTTTTTCTGGCTCAGTCCCTGCGTATACCCCTTACTTTTTCTTTTCTCTCACCTCTTTATTTGGTCTCCTGGCCCGTGACGTCAGTCGCACCTCATCCGACCCATTCGGCCCATATAACCTGGCCCAGCAGGCACTGATCTCTAAATCCCCCGGCTTCTCTTCTACGCTCTGCTTCTTTACGCCTCATCCCACCATCCAGTCACCCCTGTGACCCCTGAGGGTGGGAATTATCTCACTCGCATGAGAACAGAGCACCGCACTGCTGGATGCCCCGACCTCACATGCACCCACTTGTATAGGCACCCACGTTTATACATCACCCAGGGAATCATGCACGCTCACTGCTAGCTCCTTTCTCCTTTCCGTTTCCGTTCTTCTCCATTTATGTGAAAGTGTTGTTCATGTCAAAGACTCAGTTGTGTATAGGTCATTACTTAAATGTATGTAGTGGTGTTTAGAAGGAGCACTATGTCTACTACTACTGTCGGGGTCGGCGTACACTTGTGTGTCTGTGTTGCAGTGTGTGCTGTGTCTGTGCATGTATTGTGTTATTATACACAACCAAACATCAGGAAAATGAGCCAACGTTCAAAACATCTCATATTTGAATATTGAGCAAAAAGGACACTCTGACCTTTCAGTGGTAACACCACACACACACACACACACACACACACACACACACACACACACACACACACACACACACACACACACACACACACACACTTTTGTCTTCTAATGTAAATGACACGGCCCAGAGTCAATTTTGGATTCCCCTCAATCATCATTGCTTATTAACTAGCACTGCCACCCATGCAGAAGCCGGGGGAACTGACGAAGGTCCAAATTTGAGCAAAATAATTTGTTATTAGTTGTCCCCCAGACCACACCCAAATATCAATCGGATGTTAGCGTATCCAAAAACAACGTATATCCCAGCGTGGATCTGCAGTATTTATCATACATTGTTGTGGCAGAGTTTTGTGTTAAAATATTGAACAGACATTTTTCTAGTTATAGCAACAGTGCTTACTTTCCTGTGTTTACTTTCCTGATATTTCAGTTAAAGTTTATTTGATTTGCTGGCTGGATGTTGAATACAATTGAGAGCAATACATAAACATTTCTCTGGAATTAGAAATGAGGTCATAACTCTTTTTAAAAAAGTGAGCACAAAACTACAACGGTGAGGCAAACAATTAAGAATTTAAAAAAGAATATAAGGCTGAAAGGATATCGAGAGGATGGTAAATGTATTAGCTGTATCTGTTGCATCCTTCATAAAAGCAAAGATAAGTTTGTTTGCATTTCCCTCAAAAAAATCCCTTTAATTAGGATGGCTCATCTCTGGATTCCGCCTAAAAGGGACGGTGGGTTAATGAGTACAAGAGAGTGGATCCTTTCCTGTGCCCTTACTCCGACTGGACAATGAAGGTTATTTCAGATTTATTGTTCCGGGGAATCATCGCAAATAGAAAATCAATTAACATTCCAATTATGCTGTGTCCCAAACATCCCTTAGATGAATCAAAAATAGGAAATTCCAGACAAGGAGGAAGGGCCAGTACAACCTTGAATCCCCAACACTCAAACTAACATACATACGCATTCACCAACAAGAAACTCACGCAAAATGGGAGATGACAGAAATAGCAAAGACAAAAGGCAAGGGATATAAAAGAGGAAGAAGAAGAAATAAAAGGCATGATGTGTGTGTGTGTGTGTGTGTGTGTGTGTGTGTGTGTGTGTGTGTGTGTGTGCATGACATTTGCATCACCGGCTCTCAAGCAGCTCTGGTCTTGGATGGTCCTCATCTGTATGTGCATACTGAGTGAGTCCAGGTGCCGCGTATGGCGTAGAGGTCACACCAGAAAAGGGCAAGTGCTAAAATGAAGCTAAAACAAATGCACATGTGCGCGTGCATTCTATCTCACACGCTTGCCCACAATCATGCATTCACGTGTATGCCGAGACGCACACACGCACCGGCGAGGGTTGACCGTCTTAGTTATTCATTGACATGCACCCGGGAAGGAAAAGGTGGGGACTGTATTTCACTTTCAGAGAAACACATTCAAACGATGGTTCTCTAGGACTTCGAAATCTAGCTGTTGGTCAGGGACACCTGTGCGGGTCAACAGGGTTGTGCCGAGGAGAAATCAGGGAGGAGGACAATCTAAGACACCGAAGCCCTCCGCTTGGTGAATTTACATGATGAGTAGAAAGCACAGGAATACCCACCATGCCAGACTCGCAGGGTCTATTTTTGCCCTCATACGGTTATTTTACCTGCTGCATCCAGTCCTGCGTGCCTTTGCTGGTCTCCTGTAGCCAGATGTTGTGAGCCGAGTCAGTCAGAGCCACAGCGCACGCTCTGTTCTTCACCTGCATTTCCCTCTGATTCATCTGCCACAGAAGAAAAGAAAAGTTTAGTTGTAGTTAATGACAAAGTCACTGTTAAGGGGGGTACTGTGTTTTGAGCAAAAAAGAGAGCTAATGCTGTAAGACCAATGATAGCCTGTTCAGAAATAAAGCAAAATAACATACCCATTGTTTTAGATTAAATGTTTAGTCCCTGTCCAACATACATTTTCAGGCTAGTCGACAAGAAGAGCGCCGGCCCACTGGACAGCGAATACAGATTGAACCTGGTGGATATGGCCTGACGTTACCACGAGAAAGATGAAAGCGCTGCTCCAGCATAGCGTGTCCTTGTCACGTTGTGTGCAAATGCCGCCTTACTGCGCACGTTCACATCCCTCCGTCCCCATCCCCAATACCCTTTCCCTTCACGTCATGGAGAATGTGGCTTCCGCAGGCCCGTCTTCCTATTCCCCTCTGAATGTCAACGCCAAGGAAAATGTCACGCAAAGGACTTGTTACTGCACTACAATAGACTTCCCACACCATTGGTCCCACCCCAAGGAGTACTACAGGGCTTGGGATGAGCCATTTCACTTTGCTCGGCTTTAAGATAACACTTGGGTTCACAATAAATGTTCTGCGCACGCTTAGTGAAGCTTGAAAAGAAACAGGGGGATTGGGGACGTGTAGCTTGTGGAATAGAACCAAGGGTGGCGATTTCCCCCGGTCATACACGTGGCACCGCAGCCCAACAGATCAAACTGGTTGAAAGCTCCATCTTGAGCGAGATCCAGAGTAAAGACAATTTCTGAAATGGGGAAAAAAGACTTCTGTGGTCCTTAAAATGCTGCGATGCTGCTTATGGCTTGGTACTCGGGAATAAAACAAGCACTTCAATTGGACATCCAAGCAATGTTTAAGCTACGAAAAGGATGGGAATATCAGCGATAGGTTGGTGCCCGCATGAAACAAAAGGATAAATATTAGTCTATAGCAGCGCGGGGTAATAGGACAAAATGTTGCAATGGCTTGAGAAAAGCTACAGTTTGGCAGGGGTATAGAAGGTTAAAGCTGCTGCTGATATGAATCTTACTCTGACACTCAGACTGGGCCTTATGCTGAAGAAATTACCCATTTTAGTGGGAAACACCGTCCATTTTCAGCCAGCTAGATTGGCTGGTCCTTGGTTGTACATCAAAATGACGGTGGGCATTTGAATACATCCTGCCCGGCCTAGCCAAATTAAAGTGGGAGTGTATAGAGATAAATGGAATCTATTAAGGCACTAAGAGCTCATACATCATGGAGCTGATAAGGCTTCCATTGTAGTGGCTTCATCGGAGTGGAGATCAGACTGAGAGGGGAGGTACAACCCCGCAAAAAAGTAGTCAACTGTAGAGACAACAAAATTATAACAAAAAGAGGACAGACAGCGCACATAAAAAAAATTAATTAATTAATAGACACATTCACTCAACTCACACAAAATTCATACAATCTCTCTCACACACACAGACACACACACACACACACACACACACACACACACACACACACACACACACACACACACACACACACACACAGAGGCAGAGATCTTTAACTACTCCCTCTTCATCCATGCTTGGTTGAAAAGCTTTCCTCTGGCAGAACTGGACCCGCGGGAGAAGAAAAGTCAACCTTTTAAAACTGGAGGTGTCAATCAAGGTCCCGTTTCCTGGCGCTAGGCAAACGGGCCAGTCCCGGAGTCTATAAGCTGCAAGCCGAGGCCGGGAGACAGGAGACAGGAGACAGTGGACCAACTGTCCATGGGAAACGCACGTGACTTCAAACCAGTCGAGGACATTGACCATGTCTGGGCAAAAAAATAAACATTTTGTCCACATTCCAAGTGGATAAATAGGTCTGTACTACTATTGTATGCCCTTTAACCATCTGAGACCAGCATTTTTGATGGGAAATGCACTTTAGATGAGTATAGTTCACTGGATATCACTTCTATTTTTAATTTAGTATGTCTAGGCACACGCTTGGATGTATGGATCCTGGTTTTGCAGTCAATGTGAGCAGATTGGAGAGGACAATGTGCAAAGAAAGAGACACAGTGGATACGGTCCACGTGAAGCTGAGGTGTAGATGGTGCTGGACTTCTAGAACTAGAAAAAAATTGATTTATGTTTTTGTTTGTTTGGGATATTTAACCTTTGAAAATCAGAAAGTACACATTTCAATTGATTATGTTCACAACCTTTGGATCATATGGAATTAGTTCTCTAAATGCAATATGGGTTTGAAACACAAATAAAATACCTTTGCCCTTCTACAACAAACCTCCATGCTCTAGTATCCGTAATTTGCTTTTCAAAGATACTCACTCAGTGTTGTGTATTTGCTGGAACGAGAAGGTATAATAAATCAGCGACGCTCAACAAAAGAGTCTGTTTTCCCGATGATGGCTCAACCGAAGATTAAAGAGCAAAGAACTCCATCCCCCAGCACTCAATCAATCACTCCTTGTGACAGCTCTCATTGCCGCATTGCCTACACACATATGTTTAGCTGTGGTAACAGTTGTCGTGGTAGGTTGACATGTAATGACTCCAGGAGAGAGGGCTCTATGCAGAGTGGCCTTCAACCAAAATCACTTTGACACTATTCTGTCTCACGTTTTACAAGCCACGACGACGGCTGTGGTTTCTGTGTGTTGAAAGCAAAATCCAGCAATGTGTGCGTCTTCTGCCAAGTTGATGATACTCATGGTTTTGCCTAAAAACTAGTTACCGTGAAGCAACATGCTCGTAAGCGATGTAAGGCTGATCACATGACTTATCACGTGATTTCTACACCGTGTTGGCCTGCTAGCTAGTGCTAGCCATCTTCATCCAGAACGCTAAATGTGCTAATCCACTACGCAACCGCAGACTGCAGCTTTAACAGGGAAACAGCTGTTGTGATCAGTCTTGTGTCGGACAGGGAAGAGAAACATGTGGAAATACTTGTTGAGCTAAAACCAGCCCACAGATGTTGAGACATTTGCCGCCTCTCTGCTGGCCTTTACTGAAAGTAAAGGGAAAAAGGTTATTAAAGGAAGCTGATTGGTTATCAGAAGCAGTATAACGTGAAGGAGTGAGAGGAAAAAGCAAGACTGATGAAGATACAGATAGAGGCAGATGAGCACAAAGCATGTTTATGAATGCTTTATTGATTCCCATGAGGAAATTATCTTTTCCCTTGGCCTACTTCACGGGGAGATCAGACCACAGGGTCGGCTTCAGAATAGCGTACCTAAAGCAAGTGGGCTTTCGTCTTTAAAACATAAGCAGAAGCTTAAGTGGAAACGATGCACAGATCACAGGGGTCTGTCCTCAGCTTGAAGAGCGGCATGCTTACTTACTGGAGCACCTTTGTGAAATGTTTATCACCGGTACTTTGCCTGTCGGCTGCACAATACAGGCGTATCAGTCCTATTCTGTGAAACCATCAAATCTGTCTTTGGAGCCACTTAATTTAACGTTTGGGTGAGATTTGCGTACATTTCTTAACCCATTTGTGACTGCCGACCGATGTTTTTAAATACACTTCGTCCATGGGATTTGGATTCATTTTAATTGGAACCACACATCACATTCCTGTGAACTATTTTTACAAAGCTGAGTCACCACTGATGACGCAGTTCACCCCCACTGATGCATTTAAACTCTGGATGAACTATAAAATTCTTCTCCCTCTTTTTACTCCTCGAATTCTGTGCGGGGGGGCTTGGTTGCTATAGAGACCCAGAAAACATCACATTTCTGACCTCCCAGTAGGCATGATTCTGCTAAATAAAGCTTTTCACAAATTCCATTAACCAGCGATCCCAATATATTTGAAGCCACTCAGACACAAACACAGAGAGAGACTCGCCTCTAAGCCCTGTATCTTGTACCTGACCTCTCATGGCTCTCAGCATAGTTCAGTGTTTAGGTTTCTAAGCTCCTTCCTGCTGAAAAAACAGCCGAATCCTAGACTTTTTGTTGTGCATAATCTTATTTTCACCACAGAAGAAGAAGGTAATAAGCGATAGGGGTGTGTGTGTACGTGTAAGCGTGCAGCGTGCGTATGAAGGAGTGATGGAGGAATATTAATCATGTTTATTTAAATGGACAAGGAGCTTAAATAAGCGACGAGACATCGTTTAACAGCATGCTAAACTAATCTCTGGTGGAGATAAATAGTTCAATTCTCTGCTCTCCCTGTGACGCTGCCACGCCTGCGACACCTCTGCTACATCTAAACACCGGCAATAATAAAGACAATTATTTAGGCCTTTGATAATTATGTGTCAAAGCCAGCGAGGGCCACTAGATAATAGGAAGAAAACTGAATGCTAACCCACAATGGAGATCCCCCTTTGGGAGACAGGCGGACTTATCCCTAGAAAGAAAGAATGCAGAGACATAAAGATGAGAGCTCTTTAAGGGGCCTTGCTTACTGTCAGACAGTCAATGTGAAAAGCCACAATTATACGGAGAGAGAGTGAGTGCTAACAGAGAGCAGCAAACAAGAGAAAGGAATACAAGAGAGATAGGGAGTGACAGAAAATGTTACGCGTTAGTGGGAGTGAGCAAAAACTGAGCAGAGGCCAAGAGAAAGGAAGGGAGAGAGAGCGAGAGAAAGAGAGAGAGAAGCGTCCAGTGACGATGCCAGTCAGAGACAAGGCTTATAATGTGTCTGCGCCGTGCACTGCCAACAGCCACAGATAATCTAGGACTACCCACTGAGCACTGAAGCACTGCTTAAATATTTGATTGATTAACTGTCCTGCCGCTGCCAAAGAGTTAAGAGGAGAGCATCAGAGAAGCCAGGGCGAACACAGAAAAAACAAACAAACATGCATGCGAGTGCACACCGGAAGGTTGGAAAACACATGGCGCAGACACGCCGAAGCGTACTCCCCCCCACCCCCTGAAATCCCTGCACGCCAACATTGGAGCGGGAGCGCAAACACAAAGCGACGTGTACACATCGGGAGCATGTGAAGAGTGAGCAAAGACGCTGAC